ATTAATAAAAGATGATTTTGAAATTTTAAAAATCATAAAAATAACCACTTGACTTGTATACGAAAAAATTTATTTTTTTTTATTTTGAAATACACGCCTGCTGTAAGCATTCAATACAGAATTATTACGAATTAGTAGTTTATTTTACTATTATATTATTATAGGCATTAATATAACAGTAGGATGAATTCATTTTAACCAATAAAATTTCATTTGAAAATGTCATTGTGTGCATAAAATATAATAATGTATTCTAAAAGTCTCAAGTAGGTACCTACAGGTTCGACCCGACTATGCTCCTGTGACCACCGATTGTAAAAATATTGTGAGGCATCATGGGTCGGCGGTACTATTCAATCACGACTCATGCGAGCTGAAAACAAAGTTATGTACATTTTTTGTTAAATAAACGATGCTGCATGGGAGTTAAACAATGTGAAAACAGTTCGGCTCCCATGTAGTGATTACACTAGGAAAAAAAAAAGTAGGTACCTACCTACTAATAATATTTCCTCGTCTTAGCCCATTGTTTTTAAGGAGAGATATAAAACCTAACTTAACTTGCAGTACCTAGCACAATTAATCCAAAAAAATCTCCTCCTATTTATGACTTGAAACTTGTACCTACTATTATAATTTATAGTGCAATGCTCACACTATAATAATAGGCAAGCATCTGGGCCCTGTAAAGAAAAATTGCGTACGCGGTTAAATATTTCAATAAATATTTTACGGGGTCCTTACTCCTTATATAGGCACACGCCAAACAAATAAAAAAAAAAGCTGCTAAGTGGATGTCGCTCTGCTGTACAGTAGATTACAAGTGCGTAAATGAATAATGAATTGTATTAAACTTGTACGAGACCCTAAAAAAATCAGAGAGGCCCCGGCCGCGTTCGCGGCCCAGCGGCTATGGCCAGGCCGACACTGCAGCTTGATCCCCAAAGCACCAACTATGATTTCTAAAAGAAAAGATGCTGTTGAAGAAAATCGAAACATTTTTAATTTCCCAAAAGATGATGATGGATACAAAATAAAAGACAAATAACTTGAATAAGTAATAAGCAATCATCAGAAAAAATATTTTTGTGCACGTCTATAATATATAGGAAATAATAAAATAAACAAATAATATTTCAATTTTAAATTAGATGGAAATTCTAATACATTATTTATTATTATTATATTTTCGCATGAAATTAACTTTATGTCCACCTCCAAGAATGTATTTATGTATGTAAACATTTTTTTGTCGAGGATTAAAGTAAACAAAGAGGTTATATACACTAATACCTACATTTTGTAATTTGAATCTATGCATTTGTTAATAAAATGTTTCCGTGTGATATTATGTCTTATATTGTATGCACGTCGTAAGCACTAAGAAGTTTTGATGTTTTATGTTTTATATTATATTATAACCCATAATATTATTATTATTAGTTATTATTGTTTAGTTCGTTAGTGAAAAAACATAATATACTTGCGCTTATACGGTTTTATTTTCATAATATGTCACCAAAAAAATTGCGTGCTATTTTAACGAATCAATCTCGACGATCGGGTAAAATGTCTTTAAAAAGACGAATGAAAGGAGTTCGTAATGGTAATAAGAATTGTAAAATTGTGAGGTAAGTAATAAGTACCTAATACTGAATATTATCACCGAATTTATGACTGTATTATAATACTTATTCATTATTTTTTTCTTATCGAATTAAAAAAAAAAAAAAAAATAGTGAGGATATCAATAAGCAGACAAAAAATGTATTTTTTGAATCGTCCACAACTGAAGCTGCAGATGGATCACTTCCAGGACCATCATTTGAAGTATACAATACTCCAATGTATGATGATTTATTTGGTGAGCAATCAACAAATATTATTGCTCATTCTCCTATATTGGAACCAGATGATAAATCTCTTCCAGGATTGTCGTTTGAAATAACTAATACTCCTGAGTATGTAATATTTAGTATGAAATCTGTTTTAACAAATACTGATTTATAACTAATTATCATTTGTATATATTAATAATTATAGAACAACAACAGAAGAAGTATGTTCTTTAGGTCGTCGAATAGTGGACATATTCTACATATTTGAACAAATTAAAAAATGTATCCACGAAGGCGGTTTCGGATGTACTTTCATGGATATGGAGTTTGTACGTGAAATACGTTTTGGTCTAAGGTCGCAATTTCAATTCACATGTAAAATGTGTAAAATTAACATCAAAATTGAGTCTGAAAAAAAGGTCCCAGAGACATATTTACCTGTAAATTTAGCCGCGATCAGTGGTTCAATATCAATCGGAATAGGATATTCTCAACTTGAGGAAATATTAGCTTCCACCGATATTCCATGTATGAGTAGTAGTACATTTTTATCTGGTCAAGAAGAAATCGGTGACAAAATTCATTGTATTGCCCAAGAAGCAATGAGATTAGCCGGTGAAGAAGAAAGGCGATTAGCGATAGATGCAAATGAATTAGATATAGATGGTATACACATGTGCACAGTTGTAGCTGACGGTCAGTAGTCAAAACGTAGCTACAAAACTAAGTATGATGCTTTGTCCGGCGTGGTAAATACAATAATTCTACAGTTATACACTTATACCTACTTTTAATAAAAAATAATTCAAAAGTAATTTATTTTAAAGTAATTACTTACTATTGTGTTTTTACAATTTGCAGGCTACAATAATTGGATATAAAACCAAAAAAATCTTATTTATTGGTATAAGAAATAGATATTGTTTAATTTGTCAAAGATCGAAAAATTCAAAAAAATCAGTTCCGAAACACACTTGTTTTTTAAATTGGAACAATGCTTCAACAGCGATGGAGGCTGATGCTGTTGCCGAAGGGTTCAAACGAAGCATTGAATTACATGGCTTAAAATTTAATAAATTAATTGGTATCTTATTAAGAAATCTACTTATCTACTTATAAAAACTATTTGAAAGTGATAATAATTAATAGAATTAACTAATATTATTTTTTACAGGTGATGGTGACTCTAGTGTCAGCAAAAGATTGTTGGAAATGAGACCGTATGGCCCTAATTTCCACATTGAAAAAATTGAATGTAGAAACCATTTACTAAGGAATTATGGTACAAAACTGGCTGCTATTGTTAAAAATAGTAAATTCCCAATACCATTGCGAAACCATATTACAAATAATGCAAAGCGATTTAGATCTGCGATCACTAAAGCCATAGACTATCGGAGTTCATTGAGTAATCAAACGAAACATCAAAAAGTCTCCGGTGAGTAATAACAATATTGATTTATATTCTTATATTTGTATAAGTTAAACGATACAGCCGATAAAAGGAAATTTTAATTGCATCGAAATATAAACTCGTCACAAACTAACACATATTTTGATATAAATTCGAAAATAAATGGGTCGCTCTGTTATATGTTAGGTTTGAATGAGTAATAAGCAATGGGCACGCCACTGGATTTAAACTTTAAAATGTACTTTGTCACTGTTATGAAAGTGTTAAAATGTTATTCAATGATTGTAGGTATGATATGATTGATATGTCATATGAAAATCGATTGTTAGTGGAGAAAACGGAGGTGTCTGTCTCTTTTTTTAAGGCTATTTTATAATTTATTTATATTATTATTGTTATACAGCAAACATTATACAGGAGAATTTGCCAGTGTTCCAAAAAAAATATTCACTAAACAGTTTAAATTAAAAAAAGAATTTGTTTTTCTAATTTGAATAACAGAAGTTTGTATATCCATTTCATTATTGAAAAAAAGATAGGTGTTAGCATGCCTGACGCATGGTGAACAACACATTTACCTTGTATAACTGTATATAGGTACTATATTATAATAATTATTATCCAATTGGCTACCATAAACTTTAAATTGAAGATTAAAGCATTTTTTCTACTCCAAAAAGTGATGATAATCACAAAAGTAAATAAATAACAATATAAGTATATTAGTATACTAATAAGTTATAAGTACATTATAAAAATAATAATACACATATTACTCGTACTTACTCCATATTGTGTTACCAATTATCTACATTCCTAAATCCTAAGTGATAATTTGTGTTTTACTATAATATAATATTAATATATATTTAATTTTATTCTATATAGGATTACGTAAAGATATTACAAATAGCTTTTGCCATATTATGGGTAGTCATAAGCATTGTGAAAAATATTTTTGTAATGGAAACAAATCAAATGAACTTGATTTGTTAGATGACGCGGAAAAATGTGGCCTAGTAAGAGAAATAAATCAAATAGTGGGACGACTAGTAATGCATACTGAAAGTTTATTGTTAAACGTGGACAATAATGTGTGTGAACAATTCAACAGTATTATAAATAAACACTTGTGTGGAAAACGGATCAATTTTTCATTACGAAATTCGTATAATACAAGAATTGAGTCTGCTGTTGTATCATATAATACTTCAGGTCAATTTTTACGTTCATTACACAAACATGCAGTCAATGAAATTAGTCCTGGTAATTTAGTAAAATATATATGTTATAAAAACTAGTTACATATTATGCCAATATTGTTATAATTTATAGGTCATGTAGGAAAGAAATTTTTAAAATCCAGAGAAAGGAAAGCAGCAGCACTTAAAAAAAGAAGGCAGTTGTTTCCTAAGAAAAAATTGATTTTGAAAAAATCACGCGGTGCAGATGAACATTACGGCTTAGCTGAACCTCTTCTAGATGAATACTCTTTACATGACGTCGAAGAAAAAAAAACATATTTTTTGCATTCTATCACACTGAATGAAAATGCAAGGCGACAGTTGGAGTTAGAAACAAGAGAACAAGCAGCATGTCAAAAATGGCATATTGAACGAAAAAACCGTCTTACTGCTTCTAACTTTGGCCGAATTTGTAAACGAAGATCAACAACCTCGTGTAAGTCTTTGGTTTATGATTTGTTGTACAGATATTTTTCTTCAGCCGCAACTGAATATGGAAAATCAATGGAATCAATCGCCATACAATGTTTGGAAACTAAATTAGGTCAAAAAGTTTCTTCTTGCGGTCTAATAATTGATCAATCTATTCCATACTTTGCTGCTTCACCAGGTAATATATAGTCTATAACCTTTTATAAATTATAATACATTCATATGTTTAATATAATACAAAGACATTTAATTATAGACATGCACACCTATCAATAATTAAATAAAAAATGTTTACATGGTTTCTTGTCGTTACAAAACAAAATGTAAATAAATGTATATATATCATATATATTTAATTATATTCTGTATCCTTATAATTTTTTTTAATTTTTACTTTTTTTAATGAAAACATACAGTTTTAGTTTTATATTCTAAAGCTGAATATTATTCTTTGTATTTCGGTACTTAAAAATCGGAGTTAAAAGTTCAGATACGTGGATGTGTATAAAAAAAAGGTGGGCTAATGGGTGTCGCTCTGCTGTACAGTAGGTTACAAGTGGGTCACTGTAATGGATGGTGTTAAATTTGAATTCAATGATATAATATCATTGTACAAGAAAAACGATTCTGAGCGAAGACGGTCAGTCAGCTTATGGTATTACTAAGTAGTAAGAAGTACCTACCTATATTTTGATGATATTATTGTTAATTAAAGTAATTTATATAAAACCTATTTACGTGGAACCTTGTTTTACATTTTCAGTCTTTAGATATAAAAGTTGAACATTTTATAAATTTTTAACTACAAAATAATCATAAAATTTAAAATTTGATAAATTTTGTCATAATTAGAACTTTAAATGTTATTAAAAAACAATTGTACCTGTATTTTTAATATTTTCTACTGCTATTGTAGACATATATCAGGAGCCTTGTATTATATTTTCACGCATTTTCATCCAACAAATAAAACTTTATTCACACTTATTATAGAAAAAAAAAAAAAGAAAAACTGACAATGTCCGTAAACAGCTAAAAAAACGAGCTTAATTTTTTTTTTAATGGCGCTTTTGAAAACTACTGGACAATTTTTACTTTTCAACCCCAGAGTACCAATTAGATTCACTTTCCTATCAGAAAAAAAACTATTGAAGAAAATCTATGCACTTTTACTGTTCTAAAAGAAGATGACAGACACAAAAAAAACACATCATCGTAAAGTGAATACATAATTCATCGTTCCGCTCAGAATCTTAAATATTGTAATATATATATTATATATTTAAAAATGTTATTTTATAACTACTTGAAACCAAGTAAAAAATGTTTTCAAAAAGGTTAACACTTTTTGAAATAATTAGTGTGTCTTACGTTAAATAGATCAGTAGGATACAGTATAGTATATTTGTTATACATTTAGTCATGTATTTACATTTTTAATTAATAGATGGACTGATTGGAGATGACTGTCTGGTCGAAGTTAAATGTCCTTATTCTGCTAAAGATTATACAACCATCGTTGATGCTATAAATGACAAAAAAGTATGATATAATTATGTATATTATATCATAAATAAAAATACCAAATTTTAATGTACCTACCTTATGTATAATAAAATCTTACATTTTTCAGATAAAATTTCTTAAAATTAATAAAAAATCTGATGTACCAGAATTAAAGAGAACTCATGATTATTATTATCAAATTCAAGGGCAATTGCATATAAGCAAAAAAATGTATTGTTATTTTGTTGTATTTTCTGAAAATTGGATACACATCGAAAAAATTGTATACAACGATGAATTTTGGCAAAACGAAATGTGCACTAAGTTAACAAAGTCAGTATTCAAAATATTATTATCAAAAAAAAAAATAGTAATAATAATAAAACTATTATTATACTATGATTACAAATAAAACACTATACCTATACACGATTATTGAATAAATTATTTTAAGACAAGTATACCTATAATATACCTATAAAAAGTTTTATATAAATAAGAAATTGTCTAATAATTTTTAAATAATAAATAATTGATTTTAGGTTTTATCTAGACTGTGTGTTACCGGAAATAGTAATACCTCAGTATGGCAAACGATTATTAATTCAAGACATAAAGGATCCAAAAGAAAAAGATATTGTATTATGATTTTATTATTATATTTATTTGATGAGTTATAATGGCTATATTAGTATATTACTATTATATTATTATATATTAATATTAATATATGTATTATTATTATTATTATTATAATTATGATCTAACTAGTATATTATTTATATATTAGGCCAACATTTGGAATATATATAGTATAATAATTTTATGGATCAGATATGGTGACGGCTTAAATAGTATTTGAATTATTATTTTAATTAGGCAATCGTTTTATAATATGATAAAAGCAAAAAAATAAAATAAAAATTATAACGTAAATATTGTCAATGTCAAATTAATTAAAAAGAGCACTTCATGAAAATAATTTTTCAACAGTTTTATACTGATCATCGATATTTTTACATGGGAATTGGGAGAACGATTGGGAACATACGTTTAGGAACACATTTTTTCAGACGTCATCCAAAATGAATACAACGTTCGGGTATATCATATTTTTAAAATAATATCACGTTTGGGTACCAATACGTTTATAGATGTGAACAAAACTCAACTTCCTATATTATTATATGTTTAAAAATAAATAAGTAAATACATCAATACATATAATATCTACTAATCAAAACTATTTGAAACGTTAGGTACTAGGTAGGTAATACGTATAATGTAGGTACCTATATACCTATAGGTATATGAGATTAAATTATCGTACGAGGTACGATAAGTAGGTACCTACTTCAGGTCACCTATAAGTTATTACTTAAATTTACTGAAAAATCTATTTCATCGTAAATCGTAATGAATTTATTATTTTACATGTACCTACCTATTTCAAAAAGTAATTAGGTTATAATTATATAAATCGAGTTATGTTGTATATGATGGAGTCGGGTTTGTACGAACTACGCTTTGTTTATTAGTCGAAAAATTTCATCAAATAACTACTACATAAGCTTTAATTAATAAATAAATTGCGAATTGTCATTGTGGATTAGAAGCAAGCGCGCCGCGTGCCAGTACATGAGAAAATATAAGACGTAATACAATTTACGCACGCAGGTACGTAATGGTCAACTGCATTGACATCTGACGCGAAAATTAATTCTTTGTAAGAAAATCTGTATTAATTTTCATAACATAACTTTTTTTCAGGTTCTAAAAGTTGTATAATTATGTATCTCCTTCATGCAATTTTAATACCAACCAATAAAAAGTCATCCACTGACTCACAAGGGAAAAAAACCATAGTCAAATATTCGATCCAAGATTCACAGAACAGTTTTATGATGATAGCACCAACTGCAGTAGAGATTGAAGAAATGTTAAAGAGAAAATATAATGTTGGCGATATTGAATATCCAATTGAATCTGTTAATGTCTGGCTATTGGTTCAAAAATTCTTTTATAACATTGTAAATAAATATGATAAATCTTGTCCACTGGTCAATCAAATTATTAATGAAATTAAACTTTGAAATTTTGAAACTGCAAAATTGTTTAATTTGTGAAATAAAATTAATTGTACTCTAAAAAATATCTTATTTTTTCATACATGTATATGATTGTCTTCAAATGTTCTTATATATTATAGGCTATAGCGATATATATTGATGACACCCCCTCCCCTAAAAGCTACTGAACGCAGGTATGATTTTAAAATTAACAAACCACAATTTTTAAATCAATGGTTAAATTATTGATGATTTAATAAAAAATATGTTGTTGATTTAAAAAAACCCATAAATTGTTCTTATAAAATTATTGATTAATTTAACAAATCATTTTATAAATAAACACAATAATGCTAACGACGTATTATTTCAAAACAACAAAATAATTTGTTGAATTAAACATTAAATTAACAGGACAAAATTTTGTTATATCAACAAATTATTAATTTTCATAATAACAAACTCCCTATGTTGGCCCTATGTTAATCATTAGTTTGTTGATTTAACCTCGATTTTTATTAATTTAACTGCGATATTTCTTTCTGTGATAGGTACTTACTAAGTTTTATATGTTTACTGTGTGTATTAATTAAGTACTCTTTCTGACATTTGGTTATCATAAGTACCTAATTGCTGACACGCGCAACAAAATAGTACAAGATAACAAAATACTGGGTTTTGTATGAGACATAATACTATAATATAGTTCTCTACGAAAATTCGCTTCATTATCTGGCTACCTAATATTTCATTTTCATTTTCGTTTATTGCCCACAATTTCTATACCTACATAATGTTAATGTATACGTATATCCAATGACTCTAGGAAAAAAAATCCGGAAAGCTATACCTAACAGCTGTCAAAAATAATAATTAATAATAAAAAAAATATATAAAATTTGAATGATAATTATTATATTATTATAATATTGATAAATAGGTACATATTGCATAAGATATATATTTTACCTTATATGATATTGCTGTATATAAATATTTATTTATTTGTTTTTTTATAAACGGATAGGTAATGAAAATTAAAAGTACAGCAAGTTGAATCTCAATTTGACAAATATTAAACTGAAATTAAATAATATTATATTATAAATGAGTTAATATTTTTAAAATTATTCGTATTCCTGTTTATGAATCCTAACATCTTAAATTATTTTTTAACTAAATTATTAATATGTAATATAGGTACTACAATTATCAATTTTATAATAAAAGTCATAACTACTAACATTATCTAGACGAAAAAAAGTAAAACACAGCAATTATTTATATTTAGTGGGAGGTAATATCGACAACTATACAAATAACAAATTTGTTTAGATTTTACTGTAAAATTAAAGTATTATTTAATAGTCAATCATATTATAAAGCATTATAGCCCAACCCAAAAATTATTTCTATACACGCCACTGGAGTGAATTGACTTCTTATAAAATTTAAAGTTGAGATTATTATCTAGGCAATATAGGGTTTTATATTATATTTTAATTTTAAAGCGAGTTTTGTAGGTATATATTTTATGATTTACAAATTACAATTATATATAAGTATTTGCTTTGGGGATTTTGGATTTTATTTCCGATTGAGTTCCAGCTTATTTATGTTAAATTAAATTAATTTAGTAACATTTTTATCTCGAGTGTAGAACAATTAAAAATATTACCTTAATTATAATGATAATGCTTTAAATGTTAGGTCGCTCCTCAGGCGATTAGGGATGTCAATTCCAAGTGATGCCAAGAGTAGTGTACAGATATGTACAAGTTGTCATCCGCATATGAAGAAATCAAAAATTCCTCCATTGTACATAGGAAATGGTTTTGAGTTGAACAGTGTTCCACCTTCAGTTACTCAACTAAATCAAATTGAAAAGCAGATGGTCTCACTTAGATTACCGTTTATGAAAATATTCAAATGTCTCCGAAGTGATGGACAACTAAAAATCAAAGGCAACGTTATCAATGTTCCGATAGATCTCACTAAGACTACATCTATTTTGCCCAGACGTGCCGAAAATTTAGCTGCAGTTAAGATGATGAAAGTTAAATTAAAAAGAAAATCATGTTATAAACAACATTATCTTTATCAAAATGTGTGTATATAAAATGTATTATTTAGTTTTTTCAGTATCATTATAAGATATATCATTATATGCATAATGTTTACAGAGTATTATGATTTATGAATAAATAGATTTAAATTTAATATATTTATTAGTTGTATACTAATTGGAAATGTATTAAGATAAATTGCCAACGGTATCCCGGCAATTGAGCGAAAGAAAAAGAGCGAATGAAAAAGAGCGAATATAAAATGAGCGAATAAAAATATGAGCGAAAACATATATATAATACTGTGTACTAACATTGATTAAATATATTAAGTATATTACTTTACTTATATACATTATAACTATGTGAAACTGCAGTGAAATATTTTAGGATTCGAAAAGTCACTGTCGTCGTACCTACCTATGTTGAGTTTGTCATTTTAGTCGTCCGCCGGAGTTCTTCGGTTATCGTTAGTATTAATCGAGTATTCGAGTGATGGTTAGTGTAGTTCGTGTTACTTTTAAGTGTATAATTATTCCTCTAAGAGCAAATAATATTGTATTAATATGGAATACGTAGTATACGTACACGTGGCTGATGCAAGTTAACTCGGATCCAAAATCGCTTTTTGATCTTGATATTCCTGAACAATTTAGAAAAACCAAAAATGGAGCACAATTTCTGTTGCACGATAGTGGCCCTTCAAATAATCGAATAATTATATTTTCTACACATGATAATTTAGACATAATGGACAATTATAGTGATTGGTTTGCTGATGGCACGTTTAAAACATCGCCTTTAATATTTTCGCAAGTTTATACAATACATGTATTAATTAAGGAAAATATCATTATACCCACTATTTATGCTTTACTGCCAAACAAAACTGAAGAAACGTATATTCATCTGTTAACAACTTTAAAAGAAATTAAACCTAATTTAAATCCAAAATCAATCATGACAGACTTCGAACGTAGTGCTTTCAACGCATTCAAATATTTATTTCCAAATATAAAACAAAATGGTTGCCATTTTCATTTCGCACAATCTATATGGAGGCACATTCAACAAATTCAAGGTTTATCAACAAAGTATAAATTAGATCCTAATTTTGCTTTACATATAAGAATGATATCGGCTCTTGCCTTTGTGCCACCCAACAATGTTACACTCGCGTTTGAAGAATTGTTGGATTCCTCATTTTTTTTTTGCGAAAATGAAGAATTTCTTAATCCACTAACTAACTATTTTGAAGACACGTGGGATTGGACGTCGAGGAAGAAAAAATGTTCGGAAATCACCGTGTTTTGTTATAATGTTATGGAACTGCTATGAAATTTCCAAACGCCAGGGGGCCAAAACCAATAATTCTATTGAGGGTTGGCATAGAGGTTTCAGCTCATTGTTAGGTACCATATTTTATTTGTTGATAAATTTAATTAATTAACTTAATATATTTTAATCTTTAGCATCACATCATCCATTCATCTGGAAATTTATTGAATTCCTTCAAAGACAACAGAATTTGGAGGAAATTAAATATGAGCAGTATCAATCTGGAATAAATAAAATAAGGAAAAAAAAGAAGTACAAAGATTCGGCTGAACGGATTCAAAAATTAGTATATGGGTACGACGAAAATGATAAATTAAATTTTTTAAAAGGAATTGCCTATAATTTGACGTATTAGCTTATTAATATTTTTTTAGATACAACAAAAATAATAATTGTTGTCATAATTTTAATTTTTTTTATATTTTCCATTATTTTTTCAATTAAATGATATTCGCTGTATTATATTCAATATTTTGTGTTCGATTTTTTATTTTCGCTATTTTGGAGGTGAATCATTGCCAACAGTGTATTATCAAAATGTTAGACAATTATTTATTGTATTTGAATATTATAACATATAATGTTACACATTCGGTAATGTAACAAATTGTATTAAAATTTTTAAATCATTGGTATAATATTATGAAGGATTGACAAAAAATAAAGACAAATGTGATCAATGGTTAATTTCTAATAATAGATACTTTTGTAGGAATAATAATAAAATCTGGATCTCTACTTATTTATATAAAAAAAGAGAAAACAATTAATATAAGGTAAGCGCCCTCACACTTTTATCCAGGCTTGAGACTGGCAACTCATACATAATAATAATAATAATAAAATTATGTAGTTAATTAGTTGGCGGTTTACACGTCCCTTTTTCAATGTTAATCAGATAGTAAATATTTTATGTAATTTATGTACATATTATTTTTGGTTGGTGTATAGTTTTTGTAGATTGTTCTTACTTTAAAAATATTGTTATATTTTTTGTAGAATGATCACATATACATATTTGCTGTTATTCGGCCACCTTTTTTCAGCAATTGTTGTGTCATTGGCGGAAACCCAATTAGAATGTGCTTGTTTTAGATATGCGATATAATGGCCAGAGCTCGTGTTTTGTCCAATATGTAATATAGCGGCTTGAGGTTTGTAACGCGCTCCAGCAATTTCTAAAGTACTAGACGGTACACCGCTAAGTTTTAAATTGGTTATTTCTAATTAATTATAATTGGTTATAGATCCCTTTCCAATACCATCTCAGTTACAAACCTTTTTACACATTTTATTATTTCCAAAACCTCTCTGCTTTCGTATGGTACAAGTATTGCATTATTAGCAGAAATTATATGATAGTCAAAGCATTCTGTAAAGTTATACCATTCTCCTTGTTCTGAGTTCGTGTGTGTCTGGATTGCTAGACTAATGTTAAGTTCTTGCAATAATTGTTCATTCCTATCCATTTTAGATTACGGTTCCCTATAATATTAAAATGTTGTTATTTGCAGTTTGAATTTTGAAGCTTTTTTTTTTTTTTTTATTTAAAATGTTTAATTAAGTTTTCATATCGATAATTTCGCACGACGAAATCAAAAATACATTTCGTATAATATGACATCCGTTCGTGGGTCGTGTGCATGTGTGATTTTATGTTTTTTCCTGCAAATTAAGCTATGTGGCTCAGTAAGATTTAAGGTCCTTCCTGATTTGTCATAGGTAGGTACCTACTTCTATTTCAAAAATTATCTGTTTAGGTTTTACCGTTTCCAATCGCATATAAAATTGTTTATTAAAATACCTATTTATCAAAACAAGTTAAATTTAATATCGGAAATTCCGTTATTCCTAATCTTTTTAGAATGACCTTATCAGAACTACCTTCCCATACTACTAACACATTAATCTTTTCACCACGCAGTATATAGTTTCGTATATAGGTCGCATTTAAACTATTAACTGGGGCTCTTAGACTCTGGTTCAGTTGTTCCAAACATATGTCTCGCAGTTCCGTTTTCGCCTTAAAAATTCGAGCCAACGCTCTCTGTGCAACTAATACTTCGCGGTCTTTCATCGGTCGTACTTCCCCGTCTTCTGGTAAGTATAATGGTCGTCCTTCTAACTTCCTTATTTTAAAACGGTCCAAACTATTCGAAATAGCTCCTGATATGAGGACCTTACTGGTTTTATGGATATTGTAATGGGATTACGTAATATCATGTATTTGCTCATAAAAACAACCAGGAATGCGACCACACCCAAAAGTGTTTTCGACTAAGAATACCACTTTCAGTCGTGAGGTCCATATCAAGGACGACTGTACACGCGCCGCTCACTTCAAAGGACGCCACCACCATATATATAGGGGACAGCGAGACAGCCTGAGTAGATGTATCCAGAGACGAGAACAACACACGACTCGCTTAGCCGCCCAGCCATCACACACAACTTACACGGAGATTATCAATTCTTGAACGAGCTACAATTCGCTACAATCAACACAACTGTTCTGCTTATTTTGTCTGGTTTAATATAATACATTTGATTACTAAACTAATTTGACTATTATTATTTATCAAAGTACATCAGCTTTTGGATCCCTGAAGGGCCGCATGTAACAATATTGGTGAATTCAAAATCCGTTATCACGAGTTTGTGGGTATTCTCTCTATATACAAATATGAATACAAATCCGACAACTGATCTGGTGTTTTTTTCTATTCACAGGATATGCAAACGTTTGTCCATGTTTTTACGACTGGTGATCTGGTTATTTAATTTATTCACCGGATCTAGTAATCGTTTTTTTGTACATTTCAAATTAAGAATTTTTTTTTAGATTTGTTATATCTTGTGAAGCAAGATATAACCGTTTTCTTAATTTATCATTTTCAAGTTCTTGTACACGAAAACTTTCATTGTCACGGGACCGTGACTTGGCTTCTTTGTTTTTTAGCGCACGTTTTGATAGAAGTCCCATTTTGAAAAAAAAAATTACAATACAATTAAAAAAAAAAAAAAAAAACTACAGTAACTTCTTCTACTACTTTACTACTTCTACAACTTCTAGGAATGAATGCAACCTTCTGTCAACTTCCGTCTACCATAACATACCTACTCTGTCCCACGAGAGATCATGCCACGCACCATCCAAAACTAGTTCCCCACGAGACACCCTGTCATAGGGGAACCAGTTTCGACAGCAGGGTGATGTAGAGGGATGCTCAGAACCGGCATGTTCTCTAGTGAGGCAGAGTATATTACAGTAAACAAACTTTTAAGAATTGATAGATTTTTGTAAAATGTAAATTCGATCTCATGTATTTGCAATATTTCTTTTTTTTTTATTTTTATTCTACATTAGTCTAAATTTCACCTAATATGTATGTTTCCTCTTAATAGTAATATATAATATGCAAGTAATATTTGAAGGAGGTGAGAAAACACGTTTAAAAAAAAAAACTAACTAAATGTAATCAGTGTTTTTGATTTGTTTGTTTTCTAAAAAATAAAGTCATTAGAACACAGAATTATTAACAGAATAAGAAATATACTAACACTATGACATAAATAATTGATAAGAAATAATACAACAAGAAAAATGTCTATATCATAAAATTTATATTTAATATAATTAGTAGCTTTAAGGAAAAATTGATTAAAACTTTTTGTTCTATTTTATTGTATATATCTATGTATAATAATAATTTAAATTATGAAGTATAACTAGAATTGTAGGACATAGATCTTACAATGGATATAATTAAATTTTTAGTACCTAACACATGTAGGTATTATTTTATTGTGATTGTAGAACATTTTATAATCATATTATTATATCAATTTTTTCATATTTGTATATCATATTGTATGTAGAGTTATACCTAAATATTTTAATTTGAAAATTCAATTTATATTTAACAGAATTAGTTTTAAGAATTAGAACTAGATCTAATTAGAAATAATTTAAGAATTAGTATTCATTTTTCAGTACCTATTGTATGACTTATATTAAAATAAAATGATAAAATTGCTTATAAAAATGTTTAACCCTTTCAAGCCCAATATATTAAATTTTTCAAAAAAAATTTCTTTTCTCATTTTGGCTTTTGTAGAGTTAAATTAAGGGAAAAAATTTTTTTTGTAATTTTTTAAAAACTTACCAATATTTTACAGACATGATGCTTAAAATTATCACTGGGAACTAGCGATTAAAATTTTTTTTTTTTATTTACCAGCATATTTTCTATATTCAAAGAATTGAATTTATTTAGTGAACTTATAACCCCAAATCAAACTCTATATTACACAACACAATAGGTTAGTTTAGATTAAAATCATAAAACATAAAATAAAATATATATCAAACTGTGTACAAAATTCAACGACTTGTTGCTTTTTATTGATAGCAAAATTAATAATAATCATAACCTAATGAAAACAAAATTAATAATAATAAAAACTTAATGAAAACAAAATTCATAATAATAAAAACTTAATGAAAACAAAATTTCAATATAAACTTTAAAATATAACATTATAATAATCCTATTATTATCCAATAAGTACTTACTTATATTTTATATTAATATTCAGACTTTTTATCAGACTTTATGATAGGATACAATTTAGAAACTTATTTTTTATGGTAGTTTAAAAAACAATTGTTTTTTAAATTGTAACATAAGTGTAACTTACACTTATCACATTTTGTTGTAGAATAACATTTAATACAATTCTTACACCTTTGTTTTTCTATGACTCGGATTGGCCAATGTCCAGTTTGATCATATCTAACATCATTAGTTGGTCTTGGAGTAAAAGTTCTTCTTTTTTTACTTGGTGGTGTATTAGATAATGGTCTACCTCTTTTTGGCGTTTGAACTTTTCCACATTGTAATAAAGCATGAGATATTTCTAACTTAAATTTTAATAAGCTCATAGTTTTTTCATTTAACTGCTTACAATGTCTTCTATAGAGTAACCACGAATTTACCACACACATATCAAGCAAATGATACACAATGCGTAAATAATATCGTCTTACTCTTATATTTACACGATATAGCTCCACTAGCATATCATGTAAATCAATACCTCCCATATAAGAATTATATTCACCAATTGACGCTGGCCTAGGGACATCAACTTTTTTTTTTTCAGCAACAGACCATCTTTTGACATTCTCCACAGGCAGTGGTCCTTTGTAATTTGAAATTACATGCACAACTTTATTATCATGCCACTTAGTTACTACAATATTGTTATTTGTGTCCACTCTACTATCAAACTTGCCACGTTCTCCAGATTTCAGTTGCTTATCATTTTCTAGTACACAACCAGCAATACGATTAGAACGTACAGTCCCGATACTTTGAACTCCAACAAATTTTAACTTGCATTGCAAGTTGTAAGAATTAAACCAATTGTCCATAGATACCTAAAACAAAAATGATTGTATATTTATGTAAACTTATAAAATTTTAACAATCAAGTTATGAAGTACAAATATTACCTTATAGTTTTCATGCTTTGGAACACATTCAATAAGTCGCATGACAACATCTCCACTTATACCTAGGCCATGATTCGATGGAGGTAAAGTACCTTTGCCAACATATATTTCAAAATCATGCACTAGTCCATTTGATGAAGCCAGTGCAAACATTTTGATTCCCCATTTATGAGGCTTATTTTTATTGTACTGCTTTATAGTTGAGCGACCTTTGAAAGGAATAATTATTTCGTCAACAGCTATAAACTCATTTACATGAACTTTTTTCATGTTATTCCTTATAGCATTCAAAAAAGGTCTGATTTTGAACAATTTGTCATGTTGGCTATGTTCTCTGGGTAACATCTGAGTATTATCATTAACGTGAAAGTAAGACCTTATGTTGTCAAATCTGTTTCTTGCCATTACATCAGAAACTGTAGGAAAGCGGGTCTGATTATTCCAAAACATTCTATAAGATGGCATTTTGACAATACCCATGTACCTAAAACAAAGCATGATATTTTTGAAGAAACAGAATAACTTATATTAACTTATAAGTGAGAAATAAATACATACATTTGAATTCCAATAAATTGTTCAATCTCAGCTGTTGATGTAGCAATGCATTTTCCTGACTTCTGTACAGAATAAATATTGGTTTGTTCGCATAAATTCTGAATAATATCATCATCAAAATACTGTTTAAAATATTTATAGGGAGACAAAATGTGAGTAGGTGGATCAGGTAAGTTTCCTTTCCATGTTGAATCAGGGTTTTGATATGGTACCTATAATATTAAAAAAAGTTAATATTTAATTACCTTACATTAAATGTAAAAAAAAAAAAATGTTGTTGACATATTGTCCATAAAACTAATACCTTTTCCCAATTTGGACCTATCCTAACTTGTTCATCAAAAAGTCTATTTTCCTCTTCAATTTCTGCTTCTATGTCCCTCTGGTTAAGCATGATTAAATTATTTTCAAAATTGACTTCATCCTCTTCCAATAAATTATTTTGCATAGGAAACAATTCCTGAATTATTATTATAATATTAGTCAATAAATGTATAGTTTATTAGAATATATTTAGATACTCACTTCAATATTATCAGGAAATTGATTCAATATTTCATTTAGATTGTCAATATTTATGTCATCACCTTCATCTAGTTCTTCTATATCTGATATATCCCCTTGTAATAACTCAGCCACTTCTTCATCACTTAGTTTTTTCCCCATGTTACTAGTTACTATGGAAACATAAAAAAAAAATGTACATTTGCAACAAAATGTTCATGACTCCAAAAATAATCATTGGGAATTTGAGACATAATTATAAAAAAACATGTATTGTTTGTTTAATCCCAATGATTATTACAGGAATCATGGTGTTTAAGATACTTTAATGAAAAAACTATAAAAGTTAGATCTATAATAATACTTTAACTAGAAAGAAGAAGTAATTTTTAACATGATTAAATTTTTTTTTAATTGATTTGGCTAAAATAACTTACCTTTCAATTAATATTTAAAATTTGATTTCTTGCATCGTGGTTGATTATTGATAACGAAAACAAACTGACTGTTTACTATCACTTAATCATTCAAATAAGAAAAAACAGTGTTCCCATTAGAAAGAGCAGAAAATTTCTCATTTATTTATGTGTATTTAGTCTTTATTGGAAAATTGTGGGCTGTTTAATACGTCATTGATATACATGATTCCAAAAGTTATCGTTGGGCTTGAAAGGGTTAATAATAAAACTATATTATAATGGTTTACTTGATTTGTTTTTATAGTAGGGGGCAGTGCCGCGACAACCACAGGGTCAGCCGGGGCAATGTCCCTGTAGAGGGCCGCTAATCGTTGGCACAAGGGGACCTGCATGTATTTTAAATTTTAAAATAATTGCATTGTAATCTTATGTTTAAATCAAATAAAATATATCAAATAAAAATATTTATTTTCATAATTTATTATGCTATCTAATTTGTTGTCGAAGAACGGGGCCTATTTAATATTTATCCATAACAATATCCATATTTATCTATAAATGGTCATTAATATCTTAGTGCTACTGCTCATTAAGTCCTACGAACAAAATAAAAAAAAAAATGGTCACTGGTCACTATGTGGTGTGCCTACACATTATATTTTTGGGCTTTTTTAAAAAAAAATCACCATCATTATTCATTTTTGTATAGGTAACCTATACAAAAATATTATATACATAAGCATTAGTACTCAGGGCCCCATACATTGACTTTGTCCGGGGCCCCAAGAATATTAATTGCGGCACTGGTGGAGATCAATATTTTTGACTCACCGTAACAAAAAGGTTAGGGAACACTGATTCAACAGTATACAAAATTAATATAGTTATTTAAACAATATTTAATTTGAAATACAACTTCATTTTTATTATACAATTTAAAAGCAATGGTTATATTATACTTATATCCATGGTTGAAATATACCGGTTATTGCATATCGACATATCAAGGCATATCAAGGCGGGTTTCCACTATACACGTTTGCCGTGTACACGAAAAATGTTCAGCTATGTCCAACAACACGGTATCGTGGTTAATCGTGTGGTAACTTAACGTAACCAACCAATCACAGAAAAGGATTTGTATGCACGTGAACGAGTACGTGTATAGTGGAAACCCGCCTTTATTCTATTCTGTGATATCGACTCGGATTGTTATCATCAGAAACAAAATGGCTGCGTAACGGGATATCACAAATATACATTTTTCTTATCATCAAAAATACGCTGACAACAACTAAAAAATTCAAAATCCCGCGCATATATACTTGATTATTATTGGCTCCCTTTACTCTGTCATTTTTGTTATTATCATCAAATATTTGATTGAGAAGTGGTATATATGCAAATTAATGCAATAACCTTGTATATTTCAACTATGCTTGTATCCAATAACTTTTATTGAAAAATGCGGTGTGGCCGTTTGGTAATATTGTATTCCGGGGTTTTTATTTTCACAAGATTTTTTGTAGCCTAAAAGATACCATCAAATTCCCCATTCATGGATGTCTAAGTGGGAAATCGATTAAAACGATTTGTATTCATAAAATTGTTCGTATTATATAATTTTGTTTCAAATACACGATTGCAATTGTAATCTCAACAAATGATTAGGTTAACTCGACATTTACTTATGATACCAATTGCAAATAATAAAAACCAAATGTCAAAAGAGTAACTACTTACAGTAAACATAATATAAGACTTGACATGACGAACATGACAATGACTGTACATATATACCCACCCAAACAAATATCAGCTATTATACCTGTATTATGTTATATTATAATTTATAATTAAAAGTAATACTAAATAACATACCTATAACAAACTACGTACCTAATATCCATAATAGTCTATAGATAAATATAAGCCAACAGGTAATATTATGTGGGCATGCAGTACGCGAAGGTAATAATATTAAACTCACAGACTAGGGAGTTATCAGTTTAAGAGCTTTAGGATTTTTTTTGTTTTCTTCATTTAATTATTAAAAATTATTGGTAAATGCTATAAAAATAATAAAAACGCTACGACAAAGATAAAGTTGTTCCCTAGTGGAATTTTGGTAATTCTACTATAAATACCAAGGGAGTGGTTCTAAATCGCGCAAAACAGATTTTTGCCATTTGTACATTAGTAAGACGGAGACAACGCATACGGGTATCACGTCCTCCTAAGAGGACGCTACACGGCCATCTGTTATCTCCGTCTTACATAGCAAATTTAAGCACACCAGATCACGTTTAACTCCCTTAGTTTAAAAGTTAGAGTGAATCGACCTATTATGAAACTTGATGTTAAGAACATTATCTGTGTTTGTATGTGGGTTTTTTTACGATAGTTCAATTTTTTAGCAGGTTTACCTAAGTAAAACTTGTAAAAAACGACTCCTAATAATAATCATAATAACAATTATTAATATATTCATTACCGTCAAAATATTATTAGGAAACGTAATATTTTATTTCGGGGATTTAAGTTTTTCAGAATTATAGATACATAATATATATAACAAAATATTATTATTAATGTTTGAAAATTATAAAATAAATAAAAAAAAAGTAAGTAAAAATAGTTAAATATGGTATTCAATAAGTATTCCGTATATATTTTAAACTTTGATGATAGATTAATTTGTACACATTAATTTGATTTTTGGGTAATATCGTCACAAGCGTTAAATACCTAGATTATAAATTTAAGCTGTTACTCACCAGGGACTTAGAGACACGTTGAATTTGTTGTATAAAAATAAGTGTAACACTAAAGAAACACGATGTTTTTGGTAACCGATAGTCGATAGGTCTACCAAACTGGATGTCAACCTTTCACGTCGACAACTAGACACAATGTGCAACGTAAATTGAAAAAAAAATATATGTACTTGATTAGTTAGTGCAGATAACTAACCTGTAAATAGGCAGGTATATAAAAAAAAACACAGTATTTTGATATTTTATACTACTTCGTCTTGAGTATCGGTAATTACTCAACATAACGATTGAAATTTCAAAAGTCCAAAAAGTTATTAATCAAGTCTGTATCTACGATTTTGACACATCAAACAGAATAGGTATAAAAAGGTTAATATTCTGTCGAGTAAACTGTAAAAGCAATAAATTATGACAATGATAAAATAAAAAAAAAAAATACATTAATCGTTCCACTCAGAATCTAATAACGAGTATAGGTACTTGTGATATAGATTACATGAGGGACAAACCCCTAATTGATTTTAGTACACACGTTAAATTATGAAAATAGTTCATTTTTTCAAGTGGTGGTTGGTTAGGTAGAGTTACAGTAGTTTTTCGTTGATTTTATATTCTGCTTTCAACGAAGAAAGAACTGAAAAGTGAAATTTAAAGAACTCGTCTGAACTGCAAAAATAAAAGTAAGTAAAATATACGTACCTAGCTTTATTTTAAATTACATTTTTTATTAATGTTAAGTGGATACGTCTAAATATTAACTCACGAATACATTTAAGTCAATTCGAATTTCCTTACTAATATATTTTACGATTTTTACTTAACTTTTTATTGGTGTTCCGTACAAAAGTTATTTTATAATCGAGTTTACATTATAGTAATATTTTTGGAATTAGTACAGTATTAAAATAATAAAATGAATACTATTAATATATAACTTAATTTCTTTAAACGCAAGTATTCTAAGACACATACTTGACTTATTATAAATGTTTCAGGATACACATCATAGTGACGTTTTGTGAAAAATGTCAGTATTAAAATACAGGAATACAAATTCCAATAATATATTTGTAAATCATTTAAATTTCTAAATAAAATTGGTAAATACTAGTGTTTTTAATAATTTCTATAACTTAATTTGCTTGAAACATTTAACAAAAATTAAAATATTTATTGTGCATTAAAAAGTAGGTAATTTAAAACCTGAATTCGTTTTTCCTAATTTTTGCTCTAAATTATTGAGTTGTTAAGTGGAAATATGTGTGGTTACATAGTCATTGATATTATGAGTTGCGCGTCACCTCTTGCACAAAAAATTTAATTAACTTTAAACTTAGGTATCATGATACTGTACTATGTTTTTTTTTCAAATTCTACTTATTTGTTAAAACCATGTGGTATAATATGTTAACTGGTTTTATAAGTGTTGCACACAACTATAAAAGCTTGGTTATTTTGTGGATGAGTTGAGTTTACATCATATTGATATTTTGTGAAACAATTTAGTAGGTAGGTACTTTAATATTTAACGTGTACCCGCATGCGTTGTCTCCGTCTTACGCACGTACAACATAGCACAAAACTGTTTTTCGAGGGATAGAACCACTCCTTCGGTATTTATAGTAGAATAACCAAAATTCCACAACGCATAGGGAACAACTTTATCTGTATCGCAGCGTTTTTATTATTTGGATAACATAAATACAATTTAAGTTATCAGTTTAAGAACTTTAGGATTTTTTTTTGTTTTTTTCATTTAATTATTAAAAATTATTGGTAAATGCTATAAAAAAAATAAAATAGCTTCGACACAGATAAAGTTGTTCCCTATGCTCTGTGGAATTTTGGTAATTCTACTATAAATACCAAGGGAGTGGTTCTATCCCGCACAAAACAGTTTTTTGCCATATTGTACATTTGTAAGACGGAGACAACGCATACGGGTATCACGTCCTCTTAAGGGGATTCGATACCGTGATTTTCTGTTTTTGTCTAACACACGCGTGACATAGTATTTTAGACATGTATTTTGCCAAACATTCCAATTGATCTAGTAAAGCGATAAGAATTCTGAAAACAGATTTGAATTTGTCGTCAAGTCTACTTGAAATCGATTGTCCCACATTTTGGATTTTTTGATTTTTTCTTCTCCAAAAATTGAAATAACAGAATTTTTAAATACTCTTTTTGAATATGACATTTTAAAAAATTTGGGAGGTAATATCAAAAATGTAGGAAAATCGATTTCAAGTAGACTTGACGACAAATTCAAATCTGTTTTCAGAATTCTTATCGCTTCATTAGATCAATTGGTATGTTTGGCAAAAAACACGTTTAAAATACTATGTCGCACGTGTGTTAGACAAAAACAGAAAATCACGGTATCGAATCCCCTTAACAATTCGTACAAACTTAAACATTTATTAAGGACATTTTATCCCAATTATAGTTTGATTTTCTAATTTGTAGTTGTGCTTTATAATGTAATAAAAATAAAAATAATCATAAATTATTATTCAACAAAATATTAAAAGGATGTCAGCAACAAAAACAATTATTCAATATTATTTTAAATGTATAATACACGCAAAATCAGTTTTTCTCATGTTTTTAGTAATCACGTACTACAATAAATATAGAGAATAATATTTTTGAGGTTATGACACATCGATTAGTCGAAATATTGTTTAAAAATAATTTAATCAGTTTTGGTTTTTTATTTTCATTAAATATTGTCGATAAAAACCATGAAAATGCGGTACAAGATTCCTCATAAGTTAATCATATCCCGATTCAAAAACATAGAAAACCATTCCAATTTTTTTTTTAAAGTGTTGAAAGTAAAATTTTAAAAAATTTCGTCTAAACGAGAACATTTTCAAATTATTTTGTAGTAATTAGAAATTCATAAAAATTGCTGTGAGTTATTACATTACATCCATTAATTATATCCTATACAGATGTCTACTGTGGTTAATAACTATTTTTATGGCAAGGATGCCATTCCACCACCTCCAATAGGCCAAGCACCACCTCCAGAGGCCCAACCACCAACAAAGTTGACCCTACGCTACGATAAACCAGGGCAATACAGTTCTCCTACACATTGATAAGAAACTACTTGGAGGAAATTAAAATTTTAGGTAATACCAACTGTCTTTTTTTCAGAAAATTGATATCAAGGAATTTAGTATTATACAACCACACCCACTGTACTTATAATACAAGTTACAACAATTAAAGTATCAAATAATAATTTATATTTAGAAGATTTAACTTTTTATTTTTTTATAGTGATTATTTATCTCATTATGGACCACAATTACGAGGCTAATGAAGTTGAAGCAGACGGTAATAAATATTTTTTTAGTTAAGATAGTAAAACTAAATTATTATTATTTATTTATTTTGAAAAATACAGTCTGTAAATAATGTTTACATTAGACAATATAAGACAAAAAATAATTTTTATACTCCTTCTTAAGCTAAAGGTAACTTTTTTACATAATTGTGTGCCCTTATTAATTGGAATTTGTTGTCCAGCTGTCGGATTTGAAGGTATTTAAATTAGTGTTAATTTATTAAAGAAGCAACATTCGTAAAACCTTCAACCCAAGTAGGTATTATGTAATATAATGCATTACAATTATTATTATTATAATATATTTAACATGGCTAAAATTAATAAACTATAAACTATTATTTAGATGTAGCTAACTAGCATTATTAATTTTTCAGTTCATGATGAAAATGCAATTATTTTAGAACAGGAAGCCATATCAACATATACAACATTGCCTGGTGTTCGACTAAAATCTTTAGTCTATATGGATAATTTAGGCTATAGATATTACAAAAATAACAGCCGTAACAATAAAATGTAAGTGTAGCAATATGTCAGAAATTAATATTTTACTATCTGTTTATATTTTTAAATATTTAGCTATTTGGTATGTGTAAACCAAAAAAATTGAACTGAATTCTGTCCAACCACTGCGATTATAAGTGTGGATATAAATGAAAATTGGATTAGGACTAATAGGAACCATAACCATTATCCACCAGTAGTTGATATTCCAATGGTCCATTTAAGGAGAAGTATTGGATTGGCAGGAACAAGTACTGGAAGAACATCAAATTCAATAAGAAATGTTTATAACAATGAAATAATTACGTAAGTTAGGTTTGGTTAGTAGGTAACTTTATTCATAGAAAATATAGCTACATTTTTAAATATTATAGAAATCCAGATGGTGCAAGGAATTATACATTTCTCCAATCCCAAGCATGTGTACAAAGAATGCGTCATTGTCGACGTCCACCAAACCCAGACACAATTGAAGAGTTGGCAGGTATTCTGAATGAACAAAATATCGCATATGCATCAACCTTGCAGCATCCACCTTCAAGGTGACAGCAGATAGGACAAAATTATCTAATAAATATTTTAGCATTTCATTAAATCAATTATTTGTATTTAGGTTTTTTCAACAACTATTTGAAGCTGAGGGAGAAACTGTTGAATTAGTATTTTTTAATTTAGATGCCATCGAAAAATATAGAAATGAGCTTTTATCTGTCAGAGTTGCAGGAATTGATGGAACCTTCAAAACGGTACCAAAACGTCCTCTCAGTTTACTAATGGTTGCCTACTGACCTTTCATGTACTTTTTCATAATGTTGTAAGTTAATGCATCTAACTAAATTAATTTTTTGTAATATTATGTCATATACATTTTCTACTGTTTAGTCTTTTCCAATGGTATATGCTCTCACATCAAAAATGACGCAAGCCACATATGAATCGTTCTTCCATATTGTTTTGAGAATTTTGCCATTGAATTATGCTCAACTGACTATAGTTACAGACTATGAAAGAGGCTTGATGAATGCTATGAGAAGCATTTTTAACGAAAGCAATCTGCAGGGTTGTTGGTTTCACTTCTGCCAAGTACTTCCACAGTTTTCAAGTTTTTATGCATTCTGGTTTTATAATAAATGTATTATTACAGGCTGTTATTCGATACTGCCGGAGAACCTTAAATAGTGTTTTTCACTTATTTCAAAATAGTCCAGAAGCCAATCGAGTATTAAGAATGGTAATGTAAATATGTAATAAGTAGAGTTCGGGTTTACTTAAATATTGTTTACAACTGTCAAATATTCTAGATCGAATAATAGTACACTAGATACAAATATGTAAAATCATAAAGATCCTCTAGTAATAAGTTATCTAGATACTCATTCTAGACACTATATTATTATTTGAAATTTCATATTTGGGATGCTTATTAATTTTCAGGTATTGGCATTGCTTCATCTCCCAGCAGAAGTACACCCTGAGTGTCAATTTACTGTGGCAGAAGGGTTTAATACCATAATTGAGTATGCAAATGGTATTGAAGAAATATCAGAAAGACTACAAGGTTTTTTAATTGGGTATATTCAACAGTTTTGGTTTAATCAAATAGGCGCCACATGTATAAGTGTTTTTGGGTAAAAAATCTTCAATACAATTATTATAATTTTAGTTTTTTTCTAATGAATTATATAAATTGTTTTTATTTTTGTAATTTTTAGGTCAGATATCCGTACAAATAATTATCTAGAATCTTTCCATTCAACATTGCTGTCACAACTTGGAAGGCACCCCAATATCTGGGATTATATGCGTAAATATAACATAGTCTTGAATATTTGTGTTTGAGTTATATTTGACTGGTAATATATTTTGTGAATTTATTATTAATGAGGAAAAATGGTAAGTGTTATAACTTGTTATTTGTATTAATTTAAAATTTATTCAGTTCTAAATATTTGTGTTTGTAATTTATATTTATGTTTATTTATGTTCATGGGAAAACAATGGTGAGTGAAAATATAACTAATAATTATGCTAACTATAGATAGTTGTATTAATTTTATTTTATTTGATTAGCAAGATTGTTGTCTATTGAAAACCAATATTATATAGAAATGGACCAAGCTAGGAGAAATTTAACCATAAAAAACAATACGACAAGAGTCCGACGAGCTGAAACATCTTCTAAAATAAAACACTATATTCAGTTATTAAATGAAGAACAAGATATGTTGATGTTTCTAAGAAGAGCAGGTCATACTATGGACGGATATAATGAAAGACAGCTTGGTCCTCGACCATTGGTATGCTGTTTATTATTAATATAATTCAATAATAGTGTGTTTAATATATTTTGTCGCTTCTTGTTTAATGTTTATTTATTTATTTTTTTTTTTAGGAACTATAGTTCATTGAAATATGTAATTTTGTAATTGGTTAGTAGGACAGACAAATGTGAGTTAAACGTATAGTTTTGTAATATGGACTACTTGTACTTTTTTTTAAGCATAGTTGACTTTTTGAATTATTTTTTATATTAATAGTGATTAGTAAATTAATTGAAATATTTAATTATTATTTTATTTTTTTGGTCTAACTTTTTCTGGATTTTTAATTTGGGCAATAGGTCTTGTAACGTAAATCAATAATATAATCAATAGAGATAATAACTTAGGTCAGCCAACATTTCTTTTAGTAATACTTTTTCTTTTATTAAGCCAATGTCTTGTTTATGAATCTTGCATTTGAGTCATAAGTATAGATTAAGATGATACACAACAAGGATTTTTTTTTTGCCTCAGGGCTTGTATTATTAAATGGCTCAAAAGCCTTTATAAATATATTTAACAATTTTACAATATTATTTTATTATGCATACTACATATACATTATACAATATACTAATAACTAATAAGTATTTTATTGTATTTTGAATAAATTTGTATGTCAGTTTTGAACTTGTCGATATTTTTAAACCAATATTCCATATTTATTATACTATATTTGTTGATAATTAGGTCCTTTGGAATATTTAACCGTTTATAATTATTGATTTTATATGTTTAAAACGAATTTGTTTGCATCTTAGTTTTTAAACAACTGAGAAGAAAATTTAATTTGAAAAAGATATTTGTATAATTAATAATCATAATATAATTATATTATTTTTTTATATAATATAGTAATATAGTATTAAAGTATATTCTGAATGCTGATTATGATTTTAATAAGCCATTGTTTGTAATTCCATAAACAAGACATATTATAAAATATAAATTAATTTATTTCAAAAATAAAAATAAAATCTACCTCCCACTCTCCCGTTCATTTGCCGCTTATCATTTTCTGATAAAATGGTAGTCGGTATTCAGATTTTGATTTTCCATAGTTGGTAACATTGGGGTAGTCCGTTCTTATTGGTTGTAGGAGAACTGACCCCATCTCACGATAAACCAAGTATGTATAAATAGTATTTTATGTTATAAATGAGATTATTGATTTCAAATACCTAAATGATTTAAATATTTTTTTAGAATGCAAAATATGTAAGAAAAAACATTTTGGGCGTTGCACAAAAAGTTAGTATAATTAACAACGGTATATTTCTACTTTACCGGACACCTTTTTTTTTGCGATTTTTTGTAACTGAAATATATGTAAGTAAGTAAGCTGAAAACGATGGTGAAAGTAGTATATATATGTATGTTCATAGCCAGCTTTTCCAGGGAAAAAAAAAAGTTCAAGTGGGGAATGTCCCCTTGGAGCACTCAGATTTACCGTGTAACAAATTTTACACTGTTTGTTCACCAAATTTCGTCTCGCACAAAAAATATTTAACATTTACCAATTTTTAAAACTAAAATAATTATTTCAAGAAAAAAACAAAATTATTAAATCATAGTTTTTTTATTGTTACAAATAATTTCTTAATAATATTTACACAAGTTTTCTTACTTCTCTAGTAAAAGGTACATATTCTACAATACGATCATGAATTAAGAAACAGTAAGCAGTCACACCTGTGAGCGATTCTGAAGCTTCAATTTCCAATTGAACATCCACTGCTGAGGCTGTGGCTGAATCGTTCTGTTTCGAAGTATCGATAACTAAGTCCGAGCCCCAAATTCTGACTTCACCAGTAGTATATATTTGTATGTTCACAGCCAGCTTTTCCAGGGAAAAAAAAAAAGTTCAAGGGGGGAATGTCCCCTTGGAGCACTCAGATTTACCGTGTAACAAATTTTACACTGATTGTTCACCAAATTTCGTCTCGCACAAAAAATATTTAACATTTACCAATTTTTAAAACTAAAATAATTATTTCAAGAAAAAAACAAAATTATTAAATCATAGTTTTTTTATTGTTACAAATAAATTCTTAATAATATTTACACAAGTTTTCTTACTTCTCTAGTAAAAGGTACATATTCTACAATACGATCATGAATTAAGAAACAGTAAGCAGTCACACCTGTGAGCGATTCTGAAGCTTCAATTTCCAATTGAACATCCACTGCTGAGGCTGTGGCTGAATCGTTCTGTTTCGAAGTATCGATAACTAAGTCCGAGCCCCAAATTCTGACTTCACCAGTAGTATATATTTGTATGTTCACAGCCAGCTTTTCCAGGGAAAAAAAAAAGTTCAAGGGGGGAATGTCCCCTTGGAGCACTCAGATTTACCGTGTAACAAATTTTACACTGTTTGTTCACCAAATTTCGTCTCACGTAAAAGAAATATTTAATATTGTTTTTCTTTTTTACTCGTGTTGGTTACACTTTTTTTTTTATCTAAAATTTGATAAACAAATTTACAATAATTTTTGAAGTTGATTATTTTTTTTATTATATTCAGTTACTAATGATCTATCGTTCACTCAAGTTGTGTCTCATTTTTCTTTATTTTCTCAAAATTTTATTAAATTGTATAAGTTATTTAATTTCTTCAAAAATGAATTTTAAAAAATGCTCAAACGATATCCAGTCATTGGTCGATCAAATACGATTCAATTCAACGCCAGCGTATCCAGAATTCTCTACATTTGTATCGAGGTTACGAACTTTTAGAAGTTTCCCTTCAAATACCGGACAGAATAAGTACAAACTCTCGGAATGTGGTTTTTACTATATCAATCTCGACGATGCAGTTCAATGTCATTGGTGTGGAATAATTCTACATAGTTTTGAAATCGGTGATAATTGTTTTATAGAACATACTCGATTCTCACCTAGATGTTTATTTGTATTGTTAATAAAAGGAAATCAGTTTGTTCAAAAAGTCTTAAGTAAATATTGTAAAACCGAAGTTATTTGTAATTGTGAAACCGGTTCGTACGATACCATTTGTTAAATCATGTTTGTTTTTTTCTAAATGTTTGTATATACATATATTTATTTATGCTGCTTACAATATTTGCTGTATTGGATAAAAAAAAAATAAAACAAAATTGAATTTTTTATCTTAAATGTGTTAATATTCGATTTAATATCTCGTGGACATACAGTCCTAGCGAATTAGTGCGTATAAGATAATTTAAAATGTTTTTCAGGTAACAGGTTAGTAAGTATATGTAAATTCCCTCTCTTGTACGCACTCATTGGCTATCTGTATATTCACATTTTTTGCATTTTTCCAAAGAGTTTTTTAGTATATAATATGACTGCACAGGGGACAAACTAACAGTTCAATGTATAACTCCTAACAGTTATATCCCACTTCTTATTTATAAAAAAAGATTTTTAGTATTAAAGTATATTCTGAATGCTGATTATGATTTTAATAAGCCATTGTTTGTAATTCCATAAACAAGACATATTATAAAATATAAATTAATTTATTTCAAAAATAAAAATAAAATCTACCTCCCACTCTCCCGTTCATTTGCCGCTTATCATTTTCTGATAAAATGGTAGTCGGTATTCAGATTTTGATTTTCCATAGTTGGTAACATTGGGGTAGTCCGTTCTTATTGGTTGTAGGAGAACTGACCCCATCTCACGATAAACCAAGTATGTATAAATAGTATTTTATGTTATAAATGAGATTATTGATTTCAAATACCTAAATGATTTAAATATTTTTTTAGAATGCAAAATATGTAAGAAAAAACATTTTGGGCGTTGCACAAAAAGTTAGTATAATTAACAACGGTATATTTCTACTTTACCGGACACCTTTTTTTTTGCGATTTTTTGTAACTGAAATATATGTAAGTAAGTAAGCTGAAAACGATGGTGAAAGTAGTATATATATGTATGTTCATAGCCAGCTTTTCCAGGGAAAAAAAAAAGTTCAAGTGGGGAATGTCCCCTTGGAGCACTCAGATTTACCGTGTAACAAATTTTACACTGTTTGTTCACCAAATTTCGTCTCGCACAAAAAATATTTAACATTTACCAATTTTTAAAACTAAAATAATTATTTCAAGAAAAAAACAAAATTATTAAATCATAGTTTTTTTATTGTTACAAATAATTTCTTAATAATATTTACACAAGTTTTCTTACTTCTCTAGTAAAAGGTACATATTCTACAATACGATCATGAATTAAGAAACAGTAAGCAGTCACACCTGTGAGCGATTCTGAAGCTTCAATTTCCAATTGAACATCCACTGCTGAGGCTGTGGCTGAATCGTTCTGTTTCGAAGTATCGATAACTAAGTCCGAGCCCCAAATTCTGACTTCACCAGTAGTATATATTTGTATGTTCACAGCCAGCTTTTCCAGGGAAAAAAAAAAAGTTCAAGGGGGGAATGTCCCCTTGGAGCACTCAGATTTACCGTGTAACAAATTTTACACTGATTGTTCACCAAATTTCGTCTCGCACAAAAAATATTTAACATTTACCAATTTTTAAAACTAAAATAATTATTTCAAGAAAAAAACAAAATTATTAAATCATAGTTTTTTTATTGTTACAAATAAATTCTTAATAATATTTACACAAGTTTTCTTACTTCTCTAGTAAAAGGTACATATTCTACAATACGATCATGAATTAAGAAACAGTAAGCAGTCACACCTGTGAGCGATTCTGAAGCTTCAATTTCCAATTGAACATCCACTGCTGAGGCTGTGGCTGAATCGTTCTGTTTCGAAGTATCGATAACTAAGTCCGAGCCCCAAATTCTGACTTCACCAGTAGTATATATTTGTATGTTCACAGCCAGCTTTTCCAGGGAAAAAAAAAAGTTCAAGGGGGGAATGTCCCCTTGGAGCACTCAGATTTACCGTGTAACAAATTTTACACTGTTTGTTCACCAAATTTCGTCTCACGTAAAAGAAATATTTAATATTGTTTTTCTTTTTTACTCGTGTTGGTTACACTTTTTTTTTTATCTAAAATTTGATAAACAAATTTACAATAATTTTTGAAGTTGATTATTTTTTTTATTATATTCAGTTACT